TGGGGATAATTATCCCGATAAGAGTCAGAAATTTCGATAACGATACGTTTTCGATTTATTGCCCAGCTCCAGTACCAAATCTTAGGTGTGTTCTTGCTGTGTCGTGGTTCTAATTCCATGCTTTCGTTCTTTTTAAACACAGAAACAGTTTTGTTTACCTGTTTTGTAGCTACAGTTTTGCCGACGGCTGCCGGCTTCTTCAGGCTGACGCTGATGGTGGCGCGTCACTTCCTTCTCCGTTTATCTGCGGGCAGCAGAGGACGTTGTCGCCCTCTACTGCCCGCTCTCCCCTCTCCGACGATGCAGTCCCATGCGTGGTCCAGCGTGTAAACTCCGTCGTGCCTGTTCATGGTCCCACATCCACGTCTCCTTATCTTGATTGCTTCCTTGATCCATCTTTTGTATTTTTGTTGTTCGGTGTTAAACAGAACAACAGACAAAATATCAGCTGGACTTAAATGTGGAGTCGTTTACGAAATCCCATGCAAACTCTGCAATAAAACATACATAGGAGAAACCGGACGCCAACTCAACACACGAACAGTAGAACACAGAAAGGAGTGCGAGAAAGAGGCAAATCGTAAACACACAAGAGCAGCAAAAGAAGAAGCAGAAAGTACAATAAAAAAGTCAGCCGTAACAGATCATTGCTTAAGAGAAAACCATATAATGACTGGGACAACACACGGATCATAACCACAGAACAACAAAAATACAAAAGACGGATCAAGGAAGCAATCGAGATAAGGAGACGTGGATGTGGGACCATGAACAGGGACGACGGAGTTTACACGCTGGACCACGCATGGGACTGCATCGTCGGAGAGGGGAGAGCGGGCAGTAGAGGGCGACAACGTCCTCTGCTGCCTGCAGATAAACGGAGAAGGAAGTGACGCGCCACCATCAGCGTCAGCCTGAAGAAGCCGGCAGCCGTCGGCAAAACTGTAGCTACAAAACAGGTAAACAAAACTGTTTCTGTGTTTAAAAAGAACGAAAGCATGGAATCCAGTACCAAATGTTTTTATGGTTACGTTGTGATTTATTAGTAAATATTCTGTTTGGTGAGTGATAAAATTTATTGTATTTATCCTTGTGAATCTATAATTAAATGGGTAAACTAGTAGTAGCACATTCAATGTCAAAGAGAGTAAAATGTTATCAGGAGAGGGAGAATGTTGAAGTGATTAGCAGCGGTGTGCTAGCCGATGGCCCTCTCCATGAGGCCACCACAGATGGGAAACAACGATGCAGGGTTTCCCCCAGCGCTTGATAAGACTGGCTGGCCACCCCCCTCCCCCGCAGTCATGGACGATGCACAGTAGCTGAACAATCTGCAAGTTTCAGCTAACGCTAAAGCCTTCCTCAGAGCACCGCCAATGTTGGTGGCGTCACTTTCTTCTTCGTTTATCTGTAGGCTCAACTCAACGACCCAAAGCGCGCTCTCACTAACAATGCACGGCAGCACAACAATACACACACACACACACACACACACACACACACACACACACACACACACACACGAAGAGCCGTATAAGCAAGCATCAGCACTTTAAACTTGGCCTTTAAACTTGGCCTTGTACTGTATGGGAAGCCAGTAAAGTTCCCCCAACACCAGTATAAGATATTGGAGACATCTTGTGCCAGTCAACAACCTAGCAGCTGGAGAGTCACGCGGGTGCAGCTTCCAAGATGGCCGCAAGCTAGGGGAGCTCTCTTTCCCACACATGCTACTAACAGGATTTTAGCTGAAAAACGCAAATATATTGCTGGAATATTGCTCATTGTGAGTACTGAGACTGCGTATGTTTGATATTTAGTTTGAAAACATTACAAAGTTAGGTCGACGTCGAAATATTTTAAAAGCTCATCCCGACCGTCTACCCAGTCCACGAAGAAGACAGTGCTACGGGAGAAAACCCAGCATCCACGAACGCGACAGTCAGCCTGGAAAGACTTTTTGCAGAAATATCAAAAATGAGTGAAATGCTCCAGAACGTCGCAACAGATATCATGTCTGTTAAACAGGCGACTGCTGAGCTGACTACAACGGTGACAGCCATGCAGGAGAGGCTTGGTGAGGCTGAAACACGAATTACGCAGCTGGAGGAGACGTCAGAGCATCTTCAGAAAGATAAGGGAAGTGTGAGCAGACAAATGGAGATGATGCGGAATCGGGTACAAGCCCTTGAGAACCACAGCAGGCGAAATAATGTGAGACTGGTGGGACTAAGAGAGACCTTCGGTACCAACAGAACATTACTTGAATGCGTGCGGAAGATCCTGGCCGTGGGCCTCGGCGTGAAGATGAGCAAGGAGTTCGAAGGGGAGCGGGTGCATAGACAGATGGAATGAACATCAACCCCCGAGGCCGGTGCTGATCCGCTTCTTGAGGCAGTCGGCGCGAGACAAGGTGATCGGCGCTGCTAAGGAGAAGCGAGGGATTGTTTGGGAGGGATGCCGCCTCTCTGTGTTCCCGGACATGGCGAAGGAGCTGGCGGAGAGATGGAAGGCCTTCACCTCGGTAAAGCAGGAGTTGCACAACCTGGATATTAGATACACTCTGGTTTTCCCGGCGACGCTGCACTTCAGATGGAAGGGCAAAAACGTGAGCTGTAACACTGTGGAAGCAGTTTGTTGTTTTGCTGCTAATACAATAGCAGGTGCAGCTGCTAATACAGTAGCAGGTGCAGCTGCATATTTTTGCAATAAAAATGTTATGTTGTAATGGAATTCATGCATTAGTTTTTGTTTGCTTTGAACCCAGAGCAGACGTCACACGCCAGACGACATCAACACTGCATACTTTAGTATTTGTTCATTTATCGCAAGTAATATCGATATCGCAATATTAAGCACTGTTATTGAATATCGCAGGTTTTCCTAATATCGTGCAGCCCTAATTCAGAGCTTTGTTGTCTCAGAGCGCCGTAAAAGGCCGAGCTTTCTACCCATCATTGAGCATCACATTTTACATGTTACATTCTCCAAATGGAATAAGTTAGGCTGTACTTTGACAAAATAAAACTTTCACTGGTAATAATGTTGCTGTGGACGCTGGTCAGTGGCTCAGGGGTGGACCGTTAAAGCGCCTGAGCGCCAATGGCGCTAAATTTTCTTGTCGGGCGGTAAATACTTGACGACTTACCGCCCGGGTGGCGCCCAAGCTTTATTTGTCATTTGATGTAGGCTTTCACCTACATCATGGCCCCGCCCTGTAGGAAGCTGCCGTTTTCGTTTCGCGCGCGTGAACCTGCGCGCCTCTAGCCACGTACTGCACTTGTACGATTCGTGCACGTCCTGCACGATTCTAGTTATTGTCACGTGAACTATAAGTTAACTATTAAAGACGAAGTGGAACCACGCTAGAAACACACAAGCACGCAGGAAGATCGTGCCACCACAGGGATGGGATTTCTTGATGAAATCTCCGGCAAAACGCTTTAAAACTGGTGAGGAGAAGCGAGACAGTTCGAAACGGTATGAAGCAGAGAAGCGTGTGCGTAAGTGGAATGATTCTTGGAGGTTTAAAGAAGACGGGAGGCGCGGAGAATGGCCGTATTTGAGTTGAGTAGCGGCTCGCCTGGAAAACAGACGAGAGCAGACGGAAGCAGCAGGGGGAGTGGCTGAAAGCCGGCGTCGCCGGGGACACAGCGGCCGCGGAAGCGCCCGAAGCGAATCGCTCACGAAGTCCGGCCGCTGCTCGCCGCTCCTCAGTTCAGATCCGACGCGCCCCATTCGAGGCGCGCCTCGGCTCCGCTGTGGTTTTTCTTTTAACTACCTGGTGTCCTCAATTTCCTCAGCTCTTTTCCTCTGTGTGTGTGTGTGTGTGTGTGTGTGTGTGTGTGTGTGTGTGTGTGTGTGTGTGTGTGTGTGTGTGTGTGTGTGTGTGTGTGTGTGTGCGCGCGCGCGTGTGTGTGTGTGAGAGAGAGAGAGAGAGATGTGAACCAGTTGTTTCTGCCAGTTGAATCTCTTGGACTTCCCTGCATGTGTAGCTCGGGGGTGACGATGGATGAAGATATCGCGTTAGCATTCACACTTATTCAATTTTCAGTTTTAATTCTGGTGCCTGTTAGCAGCAGAAACACATCCTCACGTGCTTGTGGATATCATATATTGTATATGAAAACATGACTGTAATAATAAGTAAAGGTTATCAGCTGTTCAGTGTGCTCATAGGAAACGTGACAAAAGAACACAAAACACATTTCTCCTTATGGCCTATATAGTTGTCATCATCAACGTAACATGATTTACAGAATACATGTGACCAACTAACATTTCATTTTCTACCACCGGATGTTTGGATCAAATTGTGAACCAATCAAATCTTAGATCAGGTGAGAGCCAGGCGTTTCCCATCATCCTCTAGGTTTTGCAGCTGGTGGAGAGCAACTGCAGCGCCTTGCTCCAAAATCTGTGGCCGCCTTGATCTCACGAGGTTATCGATGCCTACGTATGCATGACGTCAGAGCAAGTCGGCGTCAATTCGGACACAAATCTAACCGGCATGCACTGCTCGCCGATCACCGCTGGTCTAACCTGCGCAGAACTGGCTCATCTCGAACACAGTCAATGGCTCGAATACAGCAAAGCGGAGTTGGTGATGTACTGCGTTGTATGCCGGAAGTATGCCACAACAAAAGCGTGTTTTGTTGAGGGAACAAACAAATTCAAACTTGAATACGTTATTATGTTTGTGAATGTGTACAAAATAAAGGTTTATTACATTTAAAACGGTTCAGTTGTTATTTTGACTTGTTTTGGCGGCTGACCAGCGAGGCCGGTAGATTCTTGGCAGGGCCGGTAAATATTCAGAGTTACCCTCCCGGCTGGCCGGTTGGTTTTGAAGTTCATGTCCACCCCTGGTGGCTACATGCTGAGATGAGTGCAGAGTCCTGAAAGTGCTGAATTTGTATGGAGGCACAACAACTGAGAGGACTGGGACATCCTTTCTTCTGGTCAATTTACCCTAGCCTTTACAATTTGTTTTCTTGCAGCTGAAGCTGAGCTGGCCCCACCTCAAAACCCCACCATGATCACCTTAAACACCAACTATACCCTGGTCTGGACCTGGGATCAAGGAAGTGAAGAATCCAGCGGTGTCACCTTCACCACACAATGCATCCCGTAAGTCTTTCTTTTCACAACTGACCCAACAGATTAAAGTTCAGTGTTTCACTTTTGAGTAATCAGAGTAGTTTTCACCACACTCCAGTAACTAGTTCCATGTTTTGTCTCCTTAGGCGGTTCAAGCTGAAGACGAGAGTTCCAAAGTGGCTCACTGTGTGTAAGGAGACATCTCAGAGGTCATGTGACCTCACAGGGTTAAACCTGCACTACCTGAGCATCTTCGTGCTTCAAGTTCGGGCCACAAAGAGCGGTCGTCACTCTGAGTGGGTCAGAATAGAGTTCTGTCCTGACAAAGATGGTAAAGATGTTAGTTAACTAAAACCGACCCATGTTACTGTTACACACCCGGATACAGATGTTATTGGTAAACTACAGCCTGGTCTAGATGCTGTAACAGTTTGTTAGTGGTTACTTTGATTAAATCGTCAATAGAATACAAAGGTATTCAATATAATGTAATATTCCATAAAAACATGGATTATCAATATTATTGAGTCTTTGATATTCGATTGATTCTGAAACTAGGTACTTTGGGTATGCCAGAGAAACAACACTTTATAATAATGCCTGTGGACATATAACCTTGTTGGCCTTTCCCAACATTACCCCCCACCCCTTTCATGGACTTGAGGTCAGGAGTAGAAGCATTCAGTATCCTTAAAGCAGTTGTAGAAGGGTCACAAGGAAGGAGAGGATGGTGGTAGATCCTTCAACACACATGCTGCAGGAGAAACAAACACCCTTCCAAACCCTTAATGATTGTTGAAATGTAAATTTATTAAATTGTATATTAGAAAAATGAATTTATTTATAAAAATGTAAGTTTTGAAGAAGAAACTTGAATTAATCTTAGCAGTTTTAACAGATCTTTGCTGATATTAAAACGTGTCACATCATCAATGCCAACCAAGACTGTTCGTAAACATAATATTGACTAGGTCATCTTTACATGTAGACACACACCCACACATTCAAACACAGGACTTGCATAACTTGAGTCAGAGAACGTAGAGAGAGAGAAGGAGGAAAACTCATCCCCCGCTCACTAGTCCTGGAGGTACGCCCTGGGCGCCAGAGCGAGTTTTAGCTGGATCCCCAAGTTACGGAGCGAGGTCCTCATGGGGATCTACCGTGCAGAGAAGTGACGGAGCAGTGCGTATGCCAATCTGAGTGACAGACAGCTATGTAAACACAAAGTTTGGAAGATAACCGAGTCAGAAGAGGTCCAGGAGCAAGTCACTGAGTGAAAGTTGAGTCTGGGATCGGAAGATAGCTCATGCAGAAATTCGTCTTGTAGATTCAAAGCACGCTACTGGCGAAGCACCAATTAACACAGTGAAGGAACTTCCGTCTGAAGCTCGGTGTCATAACGTTTTACAGCTTCAATTTTGATGGAATTGACAGCTGAGAAGCCCAAGTTAAAGATGGAACCAATGGCATCGGCAATGGAAAAGAGCTCTGGAAGGAAAGGTTTCTCCCTACGGTTGGCACCAGGAAGCTCCGAAATGGTAACCGTGAAATTCTGTAGCTGGAGTAACACGTGAGTGATGTTGACTTCAACGTGCCTCATCCTAGCACGAGTCCAGTTGCCACCAGTGTCAGAAAGGAACTTAGTAGTGTCCGTGCACAGGCCATTTCAGGGTCAAATTTGATAAACGCCTTCTGGGTGACCAGATGGTAGTTGATCATCACCAGTTCAGGGTGCTCCTTAAGGGTGATCCACGAAGAGGGCCCAGGGTCATATAACTGCGATAGACAAGGCTTAATAGTAGCTATAGCCGCGTCAGATTTAATAGTAGCTATAGCCGCGTCAGATATCTTGAAGATACACACGACCCACATCATAAACTTTGTCAGTCCAGAAACTTGGAATCCCGATGGATGAAGACTAGAGACAGACGCAGGAGCGGACTGTGGAGGGCTCTGTGCCGGGGTGGACTTTAGATGGTTCCCCTTTGGGATGGACTCCAGAGGACAATGGGTTGGCGTGTGAGTGCAGCCAGAAAGAACTGGGTCAGCCTGTGATGGTGCTGTGTCAGAGTGACCCTCACCCCCCCTTTTGGTAGGTTGAGCGCACGCTACAGGTTGAGGTGTCTCAGGGAGCACTGACGACACATAATCTAGGGCTGAGCCTGACTAGTGAAACACCATAATGTCTAGCCACATTGGCATTGTTGATGTTCGCAACACCACAAGGTGTAATGAGGTCCTGGGGGAGCTTCATGGGCAGCGGTTGAGTCAACCAAGTCCAGATTTTCAACCCATAGAGGTCAAAAATGGGCTTGAAACGATCGATCAAGTCTTTGCCAAACAGGAAAGGAAAACGCTCCAGGTCAGACACGAACACGGGATGGCGCACCAACATGCGACCAACTGAAAGGTCAAGGAAATACAGATGACGAGGTTGCTACATTCTGATACACAGTGTTTCCCTTACATAGTTGTAAGCGGCACGCCACGGCTACAAGATCCCAAGTTTTATTGATTTTTTTTAATTTTATTATTTATTTATTTATTTTTTTGCACTGTTTCCCGAAGAAGCAGCGGGAACTACTCTGTTGTTGCTTGTGATCACAGCCGGCAGACAGCAAGGAGGAAGAGGCAGGGCAGGGTGGTTACAGCTAGGGATAAGCCGGATACTCGTTTCAGACTAGTATCCGGTACGGATAAAGCATTTTTGACGAATACAAGCGTGAAATGAGTAAAGCTTGTAAATATCTGTAATTGTGCTGAAGGAAAATTCTCATTGGGCCAGTCACAGAGCGCCCGCCCCTCCCTACACACAAAACTGCAGCCGGGAGCTCAGTCCGTCTGGCCCATCCACGCACACACACACACAGTAACGGATCCCTCTGTGCTTGCTTCACTGTTGCTCACGTTTCTTCAGTGCTCCTTACGTTTTCTTCAGCTCGCCTCTTTTTCAGTTGAATATTCAAAGTAACTTTTTTCGTAACGAACGTGGTGCATTTGACAAGACAGAGCTGAAAACAGCTCGTGCATGCGTTGGTCACTGCCACGGTAATCCACCGAGGTAATATATTTTTTAAAAACAAGACGGTTATTATTTTTGTCAACTTTTTTTACCGGGGTTTACTGCTACACCGGTTACCGTGACAACCCTAATACAGATGTTACTGAGACACTTCAGCCTGATACAGAAGTTACTGATAAACTACAGTCTGACACAGATGTTACTGATAAAGTACAGTCTGGAGTAGATGTTAGTATAAAGTACAACCTAATACTGATGTTACTGATAAAGTACATCCTGATACAGATGTCACTGATAAAGTACATCCTGATACAGATGTTACTGATAAACTACAGTCTGACACAGATGTTACTGATAAAGTACAGTCTGGAGTAGATGTTAGTAATAAAGTACAACCTAATACTGATGTTACTGATAAAGTACATCCTGATACAGATGTTACTGATAAAGTACATCCTGATACAGATGTTACTGATAAACTACAGCTTGATGCAGACAATATTTACAAACGACAGCAGGGTATAGATATTATTAATTACAGCCTAATACAGATGTTACTGACACACTACAGCCTGATACAGATGTTACTGACACATTACAGCCTGATACAGATGTTACTGATACACTACAGCTTGATGCAGACAATATTTACAAACTACATCAGGCTATAGATGTTAACTACAGCCGGATACAGATGTTACTGACACACCTGATACAGATGTTACTGATACGCCTCATACAGATGTTATTGATACACTACAGCCTTTTACATATGTTACTGACACACTACAGCCTGATACAGATGTTACTGACACACTACAGCCTGATACAGATGTTATTATAAACTACAGCCTGATACAGATGTTACTGACACACTACAGCCTGATACAGATGTTACTGATACACTACAGCCTGATACAGATGTTACTGATATGCCTTATACAGATGTTACTGACACACTACAGCCTGATACAGATGTTACTGATATGCCTAATACAGATGTTACTGATACACTATAGCCTGGTACAGATGTTACTGATACACTACAGCCTGATACAGATGTTACTGACACACTACAGCCTGATACAGATGTTACTGATACAATACAGCCTTATACAGATGTTACTGACACACTATAGCCTGGTACAGATGTTACTGACACACTACAGCCTGGTACAGATGTTACTGACACACTACAGCCTGGTACAGATGTTACTGATACACTACAGCCTGATACAGATGTTACTGATATGCCTTATACAGATGTTACTGATACACTATAGCCTGGTACAGATGTTACTGACACACTACAGCCTGGTACAGATGTTACTGATATGCCTTATACAGATGTTACTGATACACTATAGCCTGATACAGATGTTACTGACACACTACAGCCTGGTACAGATGTTACTGACACACTACAGCCTGGTACAGATGTTACTGATATGCCTTATACAGATGTTACTGATCCACTACAGCCTGATACAGATGTTACTGATACACTACAGCCTGATACAGATGTTAATGACACACTACAGCCTGGTACAGATGTTACTGACACACTACAGCCTGATACAGATGTTAGTGATACACTACAGCCTGATACAGATGTTACTGATATGCCTTATACGGATGTTACTGACACACTACAGCCTGGTACAGATGTTACTGATACACTACAGCCTGATACAGATGTTACTGATATGCCTTATACAGATGTTACTGATACACTATAGCCTGGTACAGATGTTACTGACACACTATAGCCTGATACAGATGTTACTGACACACTACAGCCTGGTACAGATGTTACTGACACACTACAGCCTGGTACAGATGTTACTGATATGCCTTATACAGATGTTACTGACACACTACAGCCTGGTACAGATGTTACTGACACACTACAGCCTGATACAGATGTTACTGATACACTACAGCCTGATACAGATGTTACTGATATGCCTGATACAGATGTTACTGATATGCCTTATACAGATGTTACTGATACACTATAGCCTGGTACAGATGTTACTGACACACTATAGCCTGATACAGATGTTACTGACACACTACAGCCTGGTACAGATGTTACTGACACACTACAGCCTGGTACAGATGTTACTGATATGCCTTATACAGATGTTACTGACACACTACAGCCTGGTACAGATGTTACTGACACACTACAGCCTGATACAGATGTTACTGATACACTACAGCCTGATACAGATGTTACTGATATGCCTTATACAGATGTTACTGATACACTACAGCCTTATACAGATGTTACTGACACACTA